CACGGAAATGGTGACGCAGACATGCCTTGGGAATTTCTAAATAAAAGCGTATTTTAAAGATGACGATATGAATCTATGTTTTAGTTTTGCCCAATATAATTGAATCATTAATCATTTAATTGATCTATTGATTTAAATCGATGTATTGTTACACCCCTAGTAAATATGTCAATGATTTTTTTTCATTCAACCTTTATTTAGACTAAGTAATATTGAGCCTAGAAGACTCATTTACTAGTGAGACCTGTTTAGACAGACAAAAAGTAGTGAAACTGGACACATGTAGGAATTGGAGGGGGTGGTGAGCGTCAGAACACATGTTCTCCAGGCGAACTCGGATAAGATGGCCTTCAAGGCCAGCCAGGGGAGCCAAATTCAGACAGACACACAGTTGTTTTAGGGACAGGCAGAACTTAATGACGTCTACCTTGAGTCTGTGTTGGTCCAAACGGTTCTGAAATGTCCAAATTACATGGCCACACTGATGGAACGTGCCTTAGTAAAATCCCCAAGATCTGATCCATTCAGCCCAAAGCATTTGAGTCTGGGTACTCGAGGCATGAACCAAGCCATCATAAGGCAAGCAGCGTGATCGGGTCCAAATTTGCTTCCGACGACTTCCTTGTTTGTAGATAAAATCAGCCGAATCAAAAAGCAGGAACCAGTTATCGTAAATCTAATTAAGTATGTGTCCTTAAAATCCACAAGTGGCAGCAGAGATAGACACATCATCAAGTCTTCAACTTGATGAGATATCCAGCTGCGTGCGTGCCAACAGGACAAATCGGCTCGCCTAAAGTCTGTCTTCTCTTCTTCTTTAACAGAAATACGAGTGGCGTAAATTAGCAACATAAAGATGGTACTATGTGTTGTATTAAATCAGTTTACAGGATATTTCCTGTACATTTTCCTTAATCTTGCATATTCAATGGTGATACGTGCAACCCGGAAGTATTACTTTTAGTGCATGTGCAAATGAACTAACACTATGGATTGTGCTTCCATAACAGATCGGGGAATGACGAGCAGTCTTAGGCAGGGGAATGTACAAAATTCACAGCGCCAACTAATGACCCGGCATGTCAACTACAGCAAATTTGGGGGGCGGGGGGGATTCCTGCAGATGCATGTAAACACAAAATATGAGCCGTGTCAACGCAGATGTTTTCCTCGAATCAACATAAAAAAAACCAACTACATTTCCCCCAGCCGTGTCCATGTAACTAGGGCCTTAATCATTTCAGTTAGCTGTTTAGCATTGTTCTTTTAGTGATTAGTCTGTTCTTGTCGGAGTCAGAGTTTCTTTATTGTCATTCACACCTCATGTGGTACATGTG